CCCCTGCCCTCTCGTTCTCTGTACAGGGTCTCGCTATAGAGTTTGCACACCACACGTGATGATCCTCCTGTTTCAGACTCCCCAGCACTGGGATTACAGGCATGCGCCACCAAGCCTGGTTTGCCAGTGGCCAGCTCAGTGCAGGGCCTTCCTGGCAGGCAGTACCAGGGATCGAATCCAGATCCTTGTACTTGCCAGGCAGGTGCTTAGGCCATGGAGTTTATCTCCCCAGCCCATGGGCTTCTTTTCTTTTCTTCTTCTTTTTCTTTTTCTTTTTTTTTTTTTTAATTTTATTTGGACTTCTTTTCTAATACAAAATTTATATTTTGGGTTCCAACTAAACATTCAGGTCCTTTTTCAGTTTTAGTAGTCTGTAAACCTCTGTATTATAAATAATGTGATTGAACTATGTAAAATGGGCTACTGTACAGGTTCTTAGTCTGTTCTGCAGATAGATGTATGGGGAATAATAAAGTCATAACATTTGTGTGGCAGGTCCTCTGGCAATTTCGCGTCATGGCACACTCTCAATAATTCATACAAGCGTGTGTATTTAAGAGATGTGCGTTATTTAATGTAAGGAAGGTCACAGTACTCTAGTATGAAAAGAGCTGTAATGCAGGCAAAATCAGTTCCTCAAGAAATTAATCAGTGAGCCTGCGAGATAGTTCAGGGATCTAAAGCACCTGCTTAGGCAAGCGCAGGGACCAGGGACCACACTTCTATCCCTGGTACCCCCAGGGCGGGCTGAGCCTGAACAAAAAAAGAAAGAGATGGCTCAGTAAAATAAGCACTTCCCTGGCAAGCTCAAGGGTCTGAGTTCAATCCCCGGTTCCGCAAAAAAAAGAAAAAATTAAAATTAATTGGTGAGAGAGGATTGTTTTCTGTTGGTATGTAAGTTAATGAGGCAAGATATATATATATATATATAATGTTTTGGTCTCTAATTAGATTTTATTGGTACATTTTAGATATACATAATGATCATGTGCATCGTAGAGAATTTGTAACTGTACCTGATATAGCTTGGGTTTTTTCCCTCATTCCCCTATTAAAAATCTTCTAAATATTGGGTTAGTGCCATCTAGTGGCACATGCAGCACGTTCTCTTTCGGCCAAGAAACGCTTCCTGGCACCGGGCCAGGCGGTACAAGCTGTAGTCCCATCACCCTGGAAGACCTGAGGCAGGAGGATCCCTGTAAGGCGGAGGCTGGCCTGAAGGACATAGCGAGGCCCTGTCTCACCCCACCCCTTAAGTAATTACAATAGTCGGCTGTTGAATATTTCCAGTTTCTCACTTTTTTGAATTGGTAGTCTTTAATGGCATGAATAAGATTACTACTTAACACAGAACATTAGCGAGATACTACGTGTGCTTTTATTTTACTATAAAAATATAAAGAATTTGGGGCCAGCCTCATAGCGGACGAAAGCACCTGCTTAGGCTCAGGGACTAGGGTTCGATCCATAGCATGTTGTGCCAGCCCCACCCACGGGACCCACTGAGATGACAACTGAGACTGGGCGTAGTGGTGCATACCTGTAATCCCAGCATTTGGGAGGCTGAAACAGGAGGATCACTATGAGTCCAATCTACATAGTGAGACTCTGTAGATCCTGTCCAAATACAGAAAAAATAAAAAAAAAAATAATAAAGATTTTGGCCATGACAAATTTACTTCTTATTTATTGATACTAAACTGCTAAGAACTGGTAACAGGTTGTTTCTCTGGTGAGCACCTAGATCTGGTAGCACTGTCATGGCAATTAGTGCTTGTCAACCATCCTCAGGGATTCTGTGTTGGGGGTACTGGGAATCGAACCCATGTCCTTCACACTGAGCTACATCTGCTGTCTATTCTATTTTACTTAATTTTATTGTTGCAGAGGTTTTTTCTTTTTGTATTTTAGGACAGGATACTTAGGGTCTCACTACTAGATTGGACTTACAGTGATCCGCCTGTTTACAGCCTCCGGAGTGTTGAGATTACGGGTGCGCGCCACCACACCTAGTCTCAGTTGAAATCTCAGCGCACCCCAGGGCTCGGGCCAGCATAGCAGGCCCGGGGATCAAACTCCTGGCCCCTGTGTCTGCCTAAGCAGACGCTTGTTGCAGAGTCTTGCCAGTCTTAAGTTCTACCTTTTGCCCCTCCCCCAGCCATCTCCCAGGTGCTGCTCCACCACTCCTGGCTGCCGTGCTCTCTCCCTCTTGCTTGCTTGCTTTCTGCTGTTGTCTTTAGTGTAATGTCCTGCTAGTATGCTCCAGTGAGAATGCAAAGAAGTTTCCCTTGTTAGGGGAAAAGTTTCAGCATATGCAGAACTTAGAGAGGAGAGCTTTGACTGTCCCTGTCTCTTTCCTCCCATAGCTTCACAAGCAAGCAGATATGCAAGAAGAGAAAAACCGAATTGAACGGGTCCTTGGGGCTACTCTTTTGCCTGAACTGATCCAAAAAGTCCTCACATTTGCACTTTCGGTAAGTTACAAAGATATTACGGTCTGTGGCGGTGTGTCTTTGACATGGTGTCCTCTTGACCTGCTAAGGCTTTGCACCCCGCATGACTGGTGGTATGTGCTTTGTTGCTGTTCCCTCCCACATCCTTCCAGAACAGCTCCGTGAGGACCGGACCCTGTGGGACCAGAAGTGACCCTACCTTGGGCTGCTTCCTGTTGAGTTCTTCCTTTCTCCTCAGGCTCCTGTGTATGTGCCCATGTCCAAGAGTCACTCTGTGTGACTGCCCTGGAGCTTTCTCGCGCATTCTACCCTGCTGGAAGCTTGTGGGGCCCATTAATTCTAAAATTCGGAAGTAACGTCTTCTGTATAGTGACCAGCATTCCAACAGTGAGCTGCACTTTCTAGCACCAGGAGAGGCTTTCGATGCTTTTGAGCTGGACTTCTAGCTCTCTTTGTCTTTCTAGGAAGAGGTACGTCCACAGGACACCGTGTCGGTAATCGGCGGAGTCGCTGGAGGCAGCAAGCATGGGAGGAAAGCTGCTTGGAAATTCATCAAGGACAATTGGGAAGAACTTTACAATCGCTACCAAGGAGGGTTCTTAATATCCAGACTAATAAAGGTATGTGAACATTTTTATTTTGAGTAGCTTGTTAGTCATGGATGTCCTTGGGCTGTGTCCGTGATTGACTGAGCCCGTAGGTGGGGTCTTCGCTCATTCATACATTCCTTGTGATGCCGGGCATGGTAGTGTATGCCTGCAACCCCGGCTGCTACTCAAGAAGCTGAGGCAGGCAGATGGCAAGTTGGAGGCCAACATGGCCAACCTAACAATACCCAGTCTCAAAATAAAAACAGGCTAGGGTGTATCTCAGCAGCAGAGCGCTGGTGCAGGATACGCGAGTCCCTAGGTTCGGTGGATAGTGCCACATAGGAAAGCAGTTGCCTCAAATAGCTGTTGGCTGCGTCCATGTTCTTCCGCATCCTCTGAACCACACCCTCGGTAATAGGCTTGGGAGAGTGCGGATTGATTTGTTCCCAGGGTAAATGGAGGTTTGTTTACAGCGTTTCATTTCACTTACTATTTAAAACCTTTGTTTTTTCAGCTATCAGTTGAAGGATTTGCAGTGGATAAAATGGCTGGAGAGGTTAAGGTAAGTAGAGTACTGTTGTTTTTCAATCTAGCACAGCGAATACTTGCCTTGTGTTCACAGAGTATTGAGATAATGTACTATAGCGTCTCCTTTCTTTTTTTTCTTAGAGAAGAGGCAGCTTAGATTGTAATCCGTAGTGTCTGGGGAATTTAGAGTTGGACTCATCTTCGAGGGTGCTGAAATGCAACTGAGAAAAGCAGCACCTGAATCGGTTGTCCCGTGTGTGACTGCTTTGCTGTAGCTGCTGGGCTCCAGGCCTGCAGATGACAGTGAGGTGGTTCTTTAGATGAGAACATGGCACAGAGCAGGCTATTGACACTGGCGCTTTCTCCCTTGCCTGTGACCGTCCGTGGTGACAGGAGACTCTCCACTTAGCACCAGGTTGATACTTAGGTCAGTGTGGACCTTGGGCCTCGCGAACGGCAGCATCTGCAGAACATATTTACCTTGACTAGGAAAATGTCAGCTAAGCTTCTCATTGCATTTAAAAATCCACTGAGTATTTTTATTGTCACTTTGACTTCGTCTTCTTGGAGGCAGCTTCTGAGGAAGAGTTTGGAAGGTTTCAGAGCTCTGGTGTAGTTTAGCTCATTCTAGGAGCTATACTTAGGTGTAGGTTTTAAGATTTTAGATCTTAGGGCTAGGGAGATAGCTCAGTGGTCTAAGTGCCTGCCTGGCAAGCGCAAGGACTGGGTGTTGATCCCCAGTACCCCCCAGTACCGTAAGTATGCCACACCCGCCAACAAAACCGGGCATGGTAGAGCACACCTGTGATCCCAGCACTGGGGAGGCTGACACAGGAGGATCACTATGAGTCTGAGCTGTGTAGTGAGACCCTGTACCAAATACATTTAATAAAAAAGTTTCAGGGGCCGGGGAGATAGCTCAGTAGAATTAGTGCTTGCCTGGCAAGCGCAAGGACCTGAGTTCAATCCCCGGTTCCGCAAAAAAAAAAAAAAAAGTTTCAGATAGTTCCCAGGTATGCATGTATGTAACGTAACGTGGGTGCTGTACTGAGAAGGATCTAAGTGAGGCCAGGCTGGCCTCAGGCCGCCAGGCTCTCAGGAATGAGTCGCTTTCTGTGTCCCCATGGAGGTGACGGTGACGCACTCACAGGAGAGGGAGGCCTCGTCATTTTGCTGCCTAGAGATTGAGTGGTTTTGTTTTCTGTGAAGTCAGGTATACTTTTTTAGAAGATGTTTTGTGCATCTTTTAACCATGTTGTGATAAGACCCAGAAGTAGTATAATTCTATGAAAAATGAGACTATGGGATATTAAATTATTAGGATTAGTGCAGCAGTTTAGGCTTCTTAGTAGTATCGTCCCTTGCAAGCCCATCTTTGAGGCCGCTACAGTGCATTGTGTCCTCAAGGGCTCTGCAAGGAGCGCGACTCGTTCATCTTGTGCTGTCGGACTCTTGGCCTGGATGAGCAAGCTGAGCTGTAGAGCAGTTAATGGAGTCCAGGTACCCAGCAAGGCTGCGCACTGCCCCAGCCTGGATTCTGGTCCCCAGTCTGCGTCCAGAGGCACAGGGCAGTCAGCAGCCCAGGGGTTGCAGGTCCTGTCCGAGGCCTTGGGTGGCTTATTGAGGACAGCGGTGACCTTTGGCTTTGGGTTGCTTTCTGCCAGGCTTTCTTCGAGAGTCACCCAGCCCCTTCAGCCGAGCGCACCATCCAGCAGTGTTGTGAAAATATCCTGCTTAATGCCGCGTGGCTCAAGCGGGACGCTGAGAGCATCCACCGGTACCTGCTGCAGCGGAGGGCCTCGCTCCCCGCGCCCGCGCCCGTGCCCACAGTGTGACCCTGCCCCAGCCGGCCACCGCCACCAGGTGCCGCTCCTTGCCGCCATGGGGATGGGCTGAGGGGAGCCGCCTGCGCACAGAGTCACATGCCAAGAACTCAAGTCTTCTTTCAACCGGAAACAGTGGGGGTCGGACGATGAATGTAGTTAACTGGTTCCTGCTCACACTCCACAATTCAATTCTATTGAAAAAGGCGAATCAGCAGTTCAGCAAAAAATAAAATAAAAATTAAAATGTAAATATGATAGTAATAAAATAGAGCATAATGAAACTGTGAAACTTCCTGAAGCCTTGTCAGTGGTAAAAGTATTTAACACTCTCCTGTTCCTGACGGATGTCCGTTCTCTGACCCGCGAGAGGACCGCATGAGGAGGGCCTGCCGGGCTGGCAAGGCCGCGTCCTGGGCGGTGTGGTTTTCTCTTGGCATGGAGACTGACTGGGAAGATACCTTTCCTGCACAGCTCAGTCGGAACCAAGGATTGTAGTTTTCCTCCTTGCCTCCCTTCTGTGTGACCCCCTTGGCCAAAAAAGAAAGATGTTTTAAAAAATAATAGCCCTGCCCTGTTCCAGGTTTTTCCTCCCTTAGTTCTCCCCACCCCGGTGTCCTTCTTAGAGATGAGAAATGATAAGGAAACACCTTTCATAGCCGCATTAAATAAGAGACTGAGACACATTATTTTTCTTTTTAAAGACGACGTTAGCCCTGAAATGCTGTAGGTGAGACAGTAGAAATAAGAGGCACAGCCAGCCCTTGCTAAAGGAGCCGCTCCGCCCCGAGGGCCCAGCTGCGCGCCACCCCGGCCCCTGCCCTGGCAGCCTGGCCCCGGGCGCCGAGCTGGGCCCTGTGCTGGAGAGCCCACCAGCCGGCCGGCCCTCGGCCTGGCCCTGTCTCCTTCCCTCCTCGCCCTCCTTTCCTTTCGTTTTCCTTATTTCTCTTTTTAAAAAAACCTTTTTTGTGTTATTAACACATTCATATTTGGTGTGGCTTAACTGTATTTCGGAAGGTCATCAGATTGTGAGACTGCTTCCTTGAAACATTTTTGTGCTATTGTTTTAAAAATAATAATTAAAAAACAGTTGACGTTAATAAAAATGTCAATGTGAAATTATGTCCTGGTTTCTTTTCTTCCCTTGGGTAAGAAATCCAAAATACTGGGCTGGTGAGATGGCTCAGTGGTCTAAAGCACCTACTTACAAGCTAAGCAAAAGCACAGGAACCGCGGTTCAATTCCCAGCACCACATGCCAGCCAGCCCGCCCCCTGGTGGGCTGAGCTGGCCACACACACACACACACACACACACACACACACACACACACTCTCTAAATAAATAAATAAATAAATAAATAAAAAAGAAATCCAAAATACTCCCATCATCATGGTTATAGGATTTTCTGAGTTTTTTGGGGTTTTTTTTTGAGGAACCAGGGATTGAACTCAGATCCTTGCGTTTGCCAGTCAAGTGCTTATCCTACTGAGCCGTCTCCCCCGCCCCAGGCCCCCTCTAAGTTTTAAAAAAAGCCTAATTTCTGAGGTTTTTTTTTTTTTTTTTTTTTTTTTTTTGGCGGAGCTGGGGATTGAATTCAGGCCCTTGTGCTTGCCAAGGAAGCACTTATTCCACTGAGCCATCTCCCCGGCCCCTCTGAGTTCTTAATAAATAAAATTTAAACAAAAAAAAAGGTGCTGAGAATTCTTCCAGGCAGTTGTGGACTCGGCCCTCCGCTGTAGACCTGGCCAAGGCGCTGCCTGTTGTCCTAGCCCCAGCTCTGCGCTGTGCCCTGGCCTGGGCTGCCCACAGCACTGCTGCCCCAGGATCCTCCGCCCTCTGGCTTCTGTGAGTTCTGCCCACGGCTTGGTAAACAGCCTCCCTCTGCCAGCCCTGTTTGCTCCCAACTCCTCGCCTGCTACGGGCGTTGCCACCCTAACACGTTGGAGCTTAACCCAGTGATGGCGAATCTTTTAGAGCTTTCAGTGATAACAGTGGGCTATGGCATGCGTCACAGGCTTGCCAGCGCTGCCTCCATTGTGCCTTTCTGTGTTGGATATTCCCCTGGTGTTTAGGAGTGAAGCCAGGGCCTTTGTGCGGGGCGTGCTGAGCCCTGCATGGCCTGCATCACCTGCATCTAGATGCCCCCACCCCAGCCTCCCATGCTCATAAGTGGGGCTGGCAAAGGTGGTGACGGCGGGTGGGGCCCGGGCCCCAGTGTGACCTGGGAGTTTTATCCCCCATCCTACACCCTCCCTCACACCTCTTTCTTGTATACCAAGAAGTGAGCAGCTTCCCTCCACCCAGGCCCTGCCACCATGCGGTTTCTCCCCTGGAGTCACCAACTGTAGACTGAAACTTGTACCAACTGTAATCTTTCAGTTACAGCTGTTGGGTATTGTGTCTCTGGAAAAAGTGACTAAGACAGTCACTTGCCTTCAGACCATGGCAAAGCCCTTTCTCAAAGCCCTTTCTCAGAACTGCCTAGGCAGGGCTCGGGCTTGTGACCCTCTCGTCTCAGCCTCCCACAGGGCTGGGATTGCATGCCTGTGCACCACGCCTGGCCCTGTGTCAGATTTTTATAATAAATTGTCTTTCAGAATTGCACGCTAAGAAAAAAGATGCATGCTAAAACTGCATAGTGTCATTCACCTGTAATCCCAGTGCCAGGGAGGCTAAAAATAGGAGGATCACTAGGAGTCCAAGCTGTGTAGTGAGACCTGGTGCCAAATACATTTTTTTTAATTGCACACTATCATAATATACCCATTTTATAGATCAAAAAGCTGGCTTAGAAATGTTAGGTAATTTTTTTTTTTTTTTTTTTCAGGAACCAGGGATTGAACTCAGGCCCTTGGGCTTACCAGGGAAGCGCTTATTCTACCGAACCATCTCCCCGGCCCAGTAAATTTGTTTTGTTTTGTTTTCAAAATTTTATTGATAAACAGATAGCAATGAGACAGTTTCATATCAAATTGGAAGTACAGTTTCAACAAATAACACACTGCATATATTCTTCTTAGTGGTTAATTGCTGTACAAGATGCGGACTTGAGATCCTATTTACAAACACCATTAGAACAAATCATTCTATTCATTAAGAGAATGCAACTATATATCTATCCTAACCACTTTGATTACACAGGTACAAAATGGACATTCATCTGTATACCCCATTTTTTCTAAGTTCTGTTATTGAATATTATAGGTATATAAACTCAGCAAAATATTCTAAAAGAGTCCAGTAGCCCATAATAGCATTGGGTCTTCTGTTTAACTGGCAGTGTCAGAAATTATTGACCTGAGTCCCCCACAGCTCAACATAACAGCATGGACGGCCCAGTAAATTTGTTTTAATGCAAATAACTTTCAGAAGCAGTGTTCAGCCCGGTCTTCCCAGCCTCCCAAACCTGAGTCCTTACAAATGACTGCCCATCCACATGTGGAGAGGTCAGGCAGACCTGGCAGGCAAGGCTTTAAATATTTGTCATTTGGGGGGGCAGGGAGATAGCTCAGTGGAATAAGCACTTCCCTGGCAAGTGCAAGGGCCTGAGTTCAATCCCTGTTTCTGCCAAAAAAATATAAATAAATATTTGTCATTTGGGGCCTGGGGTATGGCTTAGCAGCACAGCACCTGCCTGGTAAGCAAAGGTTATAAGTTAATTCTGTACAAAAAAAAAAAATCACTTGCCTTTTCCCTAACACTTTTTGGTTAAAAATATTTAGTGGAAACCAGAGAGTTTAGAAGAAAGACAAACATGTTGTTGCTTCCTGGGGACTTTTACCATACTTTACAAGCAGCAGTAAAGCCTTTGGGGTCAGCAGAGAGCGAATTCTGAGCCTTCAAAAGACACTTTGACATTTGAAAAAAATCTGCAATTTGTGTGCACCTTAGGAGCTAAAAGAAGAGCTTTACAGATTTCAGTTGATTCTTTGAGCTCTATAGCTCCTGAAGTTTCTAGAATGTCATCACGTATTTTATGGAGAGTGAGCATGGTGGTTTGGCACCTGTAATCCCAGCACTTTGGAGCAGGAGGATCCAGGCCAATTCAAGGCCAGCCTCCAGGGATGGTGGGGGTGATGATGGGTGATGGTGCCCATGGGCCCAAGCCACCACGCTGTTCCAGTTGTTTTGCCAGGCTCTCCTCTTGGCACCAGGCAGAGGTGGCTTCTCTGGAACTCATGGCACCAGCACTGGGGCACTGAGCTGCAGAGAAAGAACGAGGTAGTAACCTGCACCTTTTCCAGAGGTCGCTGATGAGGTTGACAGCCGGGAGGAAATGCTCACACCCGGCCGGGGGCCTGGCTACACCACCCACCATACACAACTCTAAGCTCTCATCAGTTTGACACATTGTGCAGAAACTGAGTCCCTTTAGGGAGCCTGACATGGCCCACAGGCTGAGGCAGGAGGATGTCAAGTTCAGCCTCCACCTGGGCTGCGTGAGGTTCCAGGTCAGCCCTGCACGGGCCTTCAGACCATGGCAAAGCCCTTTCTCAAAACAAAAACACTTTATTAGAGCACTGGTTACCTTCTAGTGTCTGTACTAATGTAGACGTTCTGAGGGCCAGCAAGATAGCTCAGCGGACTAAGCCCTGCTTAGGCAAGCACAGGGACTGGGGTTTGATCCCCAGCATCACATGGCACTCCGGGAGGCTGAAAACAGGATCACTACGAGTCTGAGCTGCGTAGTGAGACCCTGTGCCAAATACATAAAAAAATAATTTTAAAAAGATGTTCTGGGCTGGTGAGATGGCTCAGTGGTCTAAAGCACCTACGTACAACAAGCTAAGCTAAGCAAAGCACAGGGACCGCGGTTCGATCCCCCAGTACATGCCAGCCCGCCCGCCCCCTGGTGGGCTGAGCTGGCCACACACACACAGAATAAATAAATAAATAAATAAATAAATAATTAAAAAAAAAAAAAGATGTTCTATTCCTTCTCAATAGAACAGCAAATCTCCTTGAGTTTACACTTCTAAAGTTGAAGAGACGCAAAGTCTGTAGACTGAAGGGTTCATAGGTTACTGGGGCTGTCTAGGGATAAGTCTCAAGACAGGAATACAAAAGAATGGAGGTAGGGCCGAGGACATGGCTCAGTGGAATAAGCACTTCCCTGGCAAGCGCAAGGGCCTGAGTTCAATTCCCAGTTCTGGAAAAAAAAAAAAATGGAGGGCAGATGGAGAGAGACAACTTGTTTTTTGAACAAGGTTTCACTGTAGTCCAGGCTGGCCTGGAACTCTCTGTAGCCTCGCCCCCACCCCCACCTCAGCTCCTGAGTGCGGGGATGACAGGCCTACACCACCAGGCCTGGCATATGGTGGCGGTATTGATGGGAACATGACAGCACATGACTTCCTGGTGTTAGTACAAGAGGCAAGCTCTCCTGGCTACCAAAGAGGCTGCTTGCTGCCCCACATACAGTAGCTGCTGGCAATGTGCAGGTATTTAAATTAATTAAGGATAGCTGGGGAGATAGCTCAGCGGCACAAGTGCCTGCCTGGCAGGCGCAAGGTCCGGAGTTCGATCCCGGGTACCAAATAAAAGTTGTTGTGTGCACTGAACATGTCTCAGGTGCTCACGTGGCTCATGCTGCTGTGCTCCACTGGACAGCGCAATGGACACTGTACCTGTCACCCAGGAATCTAGAGGCACCCCATCCTGCTCCAGTATCTACAAGTCGATTTCTGGGTGTGGTAGAAAACTGGGATGCAGGGCTGGTGAGATAGGAGCTGAGTGAGCTAAGCACCGAGTTAGGCAAGCGCAGAGACCAGGGTTCAATCCCCTGTACCACAGGCCATGCCAGCTGCGCCCCCAAGCACACTGAGCCAGCCACCAAGACCAGTTGTGATGGTGCTGGCCTGTGATCCCAGCGCTGGGGAGGCTGAGACAGGAGAATCACTACAGGTCCCAGCTGCATAGTGAGACCCTGTACCAAATACATGAAAGAAAG